AGATGTAGAATAAGAATAGCACAAGGAAATTCTACTAACTTTTTTTTTTTTTTTTTATTTCACTGGTCAAGGGTGTTCAGATTAATTTTACGAGTAATTCAACTAATTCATTTTCCAGTCCAGTCAAAAACAAATTATTCATGTCTGACTCAACGGATAAACAAATCGAATTTCGATGGATAAAAATCCAAACCAGATCCAATCCATTAACCATCCTACTTCTAATGAATTGAACCAAAGCTTTTGTGTGAAGCATTCTCAAAATCTAGGTTTTTTTTGTAACTAGGAAGTTTTTTGTGGTTAAAGCTACCATTTCATCCAACATTATTTTCTCTATCCTCAATTATTTTTATAAATTTTGCCAGGTTCCTCCACTTTAGATGTAAAAGTTCTAAGTATATATATATCAGATCAAATTTACATGTATCTAAATTAAAATATGTTTAAATAAACTTTGTTCCAGTTAAACATACATTTTACACCGGTACAAACTTACTCCAATTTTTTTTTTTTTTGAGTTACTCCAATGTTTATTATTATTTGCTCAACATTACTTTTTTGGGTCTTGAGAGAATTCAATACCATTTTAAAAAAAACAAAGAAAAAAGAAAGACATTTGTGATATATAATCTTTCTTTCTAATCAGGACAGGCTCAAAGCCACTTTAATGGCTGTTTAGGGGCCCTTGTTTTTAAATAATTAATTATAAATACAATAATTTTTTGTTTTCTCCGAGTCCTATCCTATCATTCTTTAAAATATATAAGGTAACTCATATTTTAAACACTATTCTATATATTTGTGATCATCTCATCTTTCAGCCATATTATAAAACCTTAATTAATCCAATTAGAGGCGTTCTCCCTATCCTACAAGTAAGAATTATGGTATTTCATATTTCTACCTGATATTTTACAGAAAAAAATTTTCTTGGTCTACTCTATCCGATTAAGTGTACTATTCTTATTTGAATTCCGTTCATAAGAAGTCGGGTAGGAAATCAGGTAAATACATATTTTTTTGTTATTAATTTTTAGATCATTTTAATAATTTAATTAAGTAACATGCACTAATTAACTAATACAATAAGCCAATAATACTAAAAAAAACATAATAAATTCGATAATATATAAACAATTACAATAAAACACAACAAAAAGTCGTAAACATCAATACATCATCTATAAGAAAGTAATAAATATCAATAAAACATTAGTGTTTCTAGATTTTTAGATTTTAATTTTTAGGGATTAACACACACACACTCCTATCCGATTTTTTGCGGATAGGGTAGAGTAGGAGTATGAAAATTTTATAAGTATTCTGCATTTTTACTCAATTTTTTTGAGAAATACCAAAAAATTTTCTATTGGCCTACCCTATTTTTTCGGGTAGTCAATCAATAGAGTTGGATAGGGTACGCTAGGATCAAAATTTACATGTAATAAAAAATTTAAACACCCTAAATCTAATTAATCTTTTTATCATGAATCACATATCCACTTATTCGAGTGGTAGGGGATGGAGACTTAGAAAAAACATTGGAAATCTCATANATTTTGTGAAATTAATTAGTTGTTTCAACTAACTAAATGTAGAGTCAAATTAGGTGATCGTGGACTAGTTAAAAGTTAATGGCAAGTAGTTGACATTGTTTTAGTATTGGAAGACAAATCGCAAAACATATTTGCCATTCAAACAAAATGTGTCTCATTTGAATACAAGAATTAACTTGTATATATAAAGTTGTCTATTAGTTACATCTCANGAAGACAAATCGCAAAACATATTTGCCATTCAAACAAAATGTGTCTCATTTGAATACGAGAATCAACTTGTATATATAAAGTTGTCTATTAGTTACATCTCTAATACCTTGTTATATAAACAAAATTTTATCCAATTTATATGGGTCTTTTCACGTGTCATTTCTATCACTTTGTCATAAATAGGAAACTTATCAAACAATTCGAGTTTTTTACAATATATTCTCTTAGATAAGAATTGAATTATTTTGTAAATCTCTTAATCATTATTATTTATACTTTTACTTTTCACATCTAATCGTAGAGATGATTGAAGAAAATTGGGTGTTAGCTAGAGGAGATTGAAAGTGATAGTCTCCATTTACCTCGAGAGAGTTCTTGGTTTTGGACGATTCTACCTTGATAAAGTTGTCTTCAAGAAACATTGAAACTAATCAATGTTGTGTCAAAATTCCCCAATTAAGACGCAACAAACATTTTTTACTTTTAGTCAAATTTTGCTGCGTATATCCATCCCCCATCAAGGTATGGAATCTATGGAGGGAATGGCCTAAACATATCTAACCTACCTAGCTACACATATCAGTCACCACTCATTATCAAATAAAGGCGGTAATTAAGCTGAAATTTCAAATCCATGTATATCAAAGTTTTAAGTAATTGAGACATCTAAGGGAGTGTTTGAAAAAACATTAATAATATATAATTATTAAAGTCAATAATTCTAGACAAAAAAATAATAAAGATAAGAGCAATGCTATTAAGACATAATTTATAGACATAATTTAAGGACATAATGAGTTGTCACCAATGATATGATAATAAATTCATGAATGCTACAGTGGGATCCATCATTAAATGTATTTCACTATCATTTTATTTGTGACAATGTATTATGTTCTAAAAATTATGTCCTTCAATTATGTCTCAATAGCATTAGTGTAAAGATAAAGGTAGCTAGAGATAGACACAGAAATAGGTATGAACAAATTAAAGACCCTGGTCATAGATGTAGAATAAGAATAGCACAAGGAAATTCTACTACTTTTTTTTTTATTTCACTGGTCAAGGATATTCAGATTAATTTTACGAGTAATTCAACTAATTCATTTTCCAGTCTAGTCAAAAACAAATTATTCATGTCTGACTCAACGGATAAACAAATCGAATTTCGATGGATAAAAATCCAAACCAGATCCAATCCATTAACCATCCTACTTCTAATGAATTGAACCAAAGCTTTTGTGTGAAGCATTCTCAAAATCTAGGTTTTTTTTGTAACTAGGAAGTTTTTTGTGGTTAAAGCTACCATTTCATCCAACATTATTTTCTCTATCCTCAATTATTTTTATAAATTTTGCCAGGTTCCTCCACTTTAGATGTAAAAGTTCTAAGTATATATATATCAGATCAAATTTACATGTATCTAAATTAAAATCCGTTTAAATAAAATTTGTTCCAGTTAAACATACATTTTACACCGGTACAAACTTACTCCAATTTTTATTTTTTTTTTAGTTACTCCAATGTTTATTATTATTTGCTCAACATTACTTTTTTGGGTCTTGAGAGAATTCAATACCATTTTAAAAAAAACAAAGAAAAAAGAAAGACATTTGTGATATATAATCTTTCTTTCTAATCAGGACAGGCTCAAAGCCACTTTAATGGCTGTTTAGGGGCCCTTGTTTTTAAATAATTAATTATAAATACAATAATTTTTTGTTTTCTCCGAGTCCTATCCTATCATTCTTTAAAATATATAAGGTAACTCATATTTTAAACACTATTCTATATATTTGTGATCATCTCATCTTTCAGCCATATTATAAAACCTTAATTAATCCAATTAGAAGCGTTCTCCCTATCCTACAAGTAAGAATTATGGTATTTCATATTTCTACCTGATATTTTACAGAAAAAAATTTTCTTGGTCTACTCTATCCGATTAAGTGTACTATTCTTATTTGAATTCCGTTCATAAGAAGTCGGGTAGGAAATCAGGTAAATACATATTTTTTTGTTATTAATTTTTAGATCATTTTAATAATTTAATTAAGTAACATGCACTAATTAACTAATACAATAAGCCAATAATACTAAAAAAAACATAATAAATTCGATAATATATAAACAATTACAATAAAACACAACAAAAAGTCGTAAACATCAATACATCATCTATAAGAAAGTAATAAATATCAATAAAACATTAGTGTTTCTAGATTTTTAGATTTTAATTTTTAGGGATTAACACACACACACTCCTACCCGATTTTTTGCGGATAGAGTAGAGTAGGAGTATGAAAATTTTATAAGTATTCTGCATTTTTACTTAATTTTTTTGAGAAATACCGAAAAGTTTTCTATTGGCCTACTCTATTTTTTCGGGTAGTCAATCAATAGAGTTGGATAGAGTACGTTAGGATCAAAATTTACATGTAATAAAAAATTTAAACACCCTAAATCTAATTAATCTTTTTATCATGAATCACATATCCACTTATTCGAGTGGCAGAGGATGGAGACTTAAAAAAAACATTGGAAATCTCATCGTTAAAAGTTGATTTTATTTTATTTTTTGTTTTAATGGTGTGAGTGTCTGAACTAATTTATGTGCACCTCAATTATTGTTCTTTTCAGTCCGGTCAAAGACAGACTATTTATACTAGAATTAAAGTATTTATTAAAAATAAATATTTTATGACATGATCTTATTAAATTATTAAAATTCAAATTTAAAACGTCTCCATGCTATCATTTCAATTTCTTGGGGGTATGTTAAGAGTTGATTTCAAATACGTACCGGTGCTACGTCTAATTAACTTTTTCCTCCACCCTATCATTGCAATTTAAGCCTCGTTACCAACAAAGTATATACCAGTTGAAGACCGTAACAAAAAAAAAAAATTATTTACACCTAAAAATTTGACATAATTTGTTGATCTAATAACGTGACTTTATTAAAATTATTGAATTAACACCAAATTTCAATGATTGATGGAGCCTCCAATCAAAACAAAAACCTTTTAAACGTAAATCACCAGTTCAAGAAGGGTAATACTGTAAAACAACAGTGACTGTACCTTGTTCCTGCCGACTTCTTCTGCACTCTCTTTTCGCTCAAAACCAAACATCAGAGCTTCTCTTTCACCTACCTGAACCATATCACCCACCCTTCCCCTGTCTTTTCTCTCGCATTTTCTCACCAAAACTTCCGTGACAAAGTTCGATTCAACTTTCCTCTGGAAAATCTTCAACATTTTCTAGGAAACCAAACAGAAGACTATGTGTGGCGGTGCGATCATTTCCGACATCGTTCAGCCTAGCCGATCTCTCCGGGCTACTGAAGACTTGCTCTGGGGCCCCACTCTCAAGAAAAACAAAAGCAATTACTACTCCAAGCCCTTGCGATCTAAGATCGTTGGCATCGATGATGATTTCGAGGCAGATTTCCTGGACTTCAAGGACTACTCTGATAACGAGGAAGACGAGGATGTCAAGCCTCCTTTCGCTTTTTCTGCTTCCAAACAACAGTCTGGGCTTTCTCACGGTGACACCATTTCTCATCTCATTTCGCAGTTTTCTTTTATTTTTATTTGTGGGTTGAAGTTTCAATTTGTATACTTCTTTTTGGGGTTTCAGTGTGATCTGTTTGATTTTTCTGGTGGTTTGGTGTTGGTGTTGCTGATTGCTGACTTAAATATTCATTTGTTTATTCTGTATTTCCTTTGTGAAATTAGGTTGCTGATTGCCGAAAGAGAGATGTTGGTTTAATTTTGGATTGATCTCTTTTGTTGTTTGTTTTGATCCTTCAAAATAGCTATTTGTATGATTCAGTATTTTGTTTAATTTTGGGATGAATTCTTCAAATAAGTCCGTAGGGGATATCCTTTTGTCTCGTTAGAGTAGTAAATTAAATTAAAGTTTATTTTTTTTGGGTAGAAAATAGTTCATGGTAGATTTTTGAGGAAATGATCTTGTGGATTCTTTAATTAACCCAGAAAAAAAGTTTTCTTTTTACGCCTGAAACTTAGTTTTCGTTACCAAAAAAGAATTTCATTTGGAAAGAACAAAGGTTTTTGTTGTTTTTGCTCAAAGATTATTGTATCAGAACTGGTTTGGCCAAAAACAAAGTTTTGATGTATATGTTTTAGTTGATTAATCTATGTACTTCTCTAACGATATATCATTTGCTAAAAGTTATGAATTTTTCCTCGTTGAGAAGGGAACAAATAAGAGATTGTGAATTGTGTGGGTGCTAAGGCTTTGATGCGAGTGTTTTCTTTTAAAAAAGACTTCTGATTTAGTCAGTTTATTTATTTTTCATTATTTGATCCAATTCACTCGATTTGTTCCTTTTGTTATTTGATGTGGCTTTTGATTGACTGAATTTGTGAATTTTAAATAAGTGTAATTTTCATTGATAAATAAGTCATTTCACTGTAAAATTCTCTGTGTACTGTGTGGCATTGTTATTTCTGAGATATCTGAAGTCATGAACAGTAAACCGAAATGGTAGGAGTCTCATTTTAAATTTTTTGCTCATCAATCTATCATTGTTTTGAAAGAAATATTGTTGGCGTTGGAACCCTTCTCTGGCTCTCTCTCCCTCTCTTTTATTATTGGGTGACATTTCGATCCTTTCTTTTCTCTCTTATTATTCCTTTCTGTTCTCTGTTGGTATTTGATCTCTTTGAGGTGTTCATACCAGACAAATTTATGCACTCTTAGGGTTTATTACTTTGTTGTTTTAACCATTACTGTGACATCTTTTATTCTTTTTGCCTAACAGGCTCTAAGCCTGTAAAATCTGCTGAATCCAATGAACAAGCTGAGATATCTTCTAANTTTTTTTTTTATTTCACTGGTCAAGGGTGTTCAGATTAATTTTACGAGTAATTCAACTAATTCATTTTCCAGTCCAGTCAAAAACAAATTATTCATGTCTGACTCAACGGATAAACAAATCGAATTTCGATGGATAAAAATCCAAACCAGAGCCAATCCATTAACCATCCTACTTCTAATGAATTGAACCAAAGCTTTTGTGTGAAGCATTCTCAAAATCTAGGTTTTTTTTGTAACTAGGAAGTTTTTTGTGGTTAAAGCTACCATTTCATCCAACATTATTTTCTCTATCCTCAATTATTTTTATAAATTTTGCCAGGTTCCTCCACTTTAGATGTAAAAGTTCTAAGTATATATATATCAGATCAAATTTACATGTATCTAAATTAAAATATGTTTAAATAAACTTTGTTCCAGTTAAACATACATTTTACACCGGTACAAACTTACTCCAATTTTTTTTTTTTTTGAGTTACTCCAATGTTTATTATTATTTGCTCAACATTACTTTTTTGGGTCTTGAGAGAATTCAATACCATTTTAAAAAAAACAAAGAAAAAAGAAAGACATTTGTGATATATAATCTTTCTTTCTAATCAGGACAGGCTCAAAGCCACTTTAATGGCTGTTTAGGGGCCCTTGTTTTTAAATAATTAATTATAAATACAATAATTTTTTGTTTTCTCCGAGTCCTATCCTATCATTCTTTAAAATATATAAGGTAACTCATATTTTAAACACTATTCTATATATTTGTGATCATCTCATCTTTCAGCCATATTATAAAACCTTAATTAATCCAATTAGAGCCGTTCTCCCTATCCTACAAGTAAGAATTATGGTATTTCATATTTCTACCTGATATTTTACAGAAAAAAATTTTCTTGGTCTACTCTATCCGATTAAGTGTACTATTCTTATTTGAATTCCGTTCATAAGAAGTCGGGTAGGAAATCAGGTAAATACATATTTTTTTGTTATTAATTTTTAGATCATTTTAATAATTTAATTAAGTAACATGCACTAATTAACTAATACAATAAGCCAATAATACTAAAAAAAACATAATAAATTCGATAATATATAAACAATTACAATAAAACACAACAAAAAGTCGTAAACATCAATACATCATCTATAAGAAAGTAATAAATATCAATAAAACATTAGTGTTTCTAGATTTTTAGATTTTAATTTTTAGGGATTAACACACACACACTCCTATCCGATTTTTTGCGGATAGGGTAGAGTAGGAGTATGAAAATTTTATAAGTATTCTGCATTTTTACTCAATTTTTTTGAGAAATACCAAAAAATTTTCTATTGGCCTACCCTATTTTTTCGGGTAGTCAATCAATAGAGTTGGATAGGGTACGCTAGGATCAAAATTTACATGTAATAAAAAATTTAAACACCCTAAATCTAATTAATCTTTTTATCATGAATCACATATCCACTTATTCGAGTGGTAGGGGATGGAGACTTAAAAAAAACATTGGAAATCTCATAGTTAAAAGTTGATTTTATTTTATTTTTTGTTTTAATGGTGTGAGTGTCTGAACTAATTTATGTGCACCTCAATTATTCTTCTTCTCAGTCCGGTCAAAGACAGACTATTTATACTAGAATTAAAGTATTTATTAAAAATAAATATTTTATGACATGATCTTATTAAATTATTAAAATTCAAATTTAAAACGTCTCCATGCTATCATTTCAATTTTTTGGGGGTATGTTAAGAGTTGATTTCAAATACGTACCGGTGCTACGTCTAATTAACTTTTTCCTCCACCCTATCATTGCAATTTTAGCCTCGTTACCAACAAAGTATATACCAGTTGAAGACCGTAACAAAAAAAAATATTATTTACACCTAAAAATTTGACATAATTTGTTGATCTAAGAACGTGACTTTATTAAAATTTCAATGATCGAAGGAGCCTGNCAAATACCTTGTTATATAAACAAAATTTTATCCAATTTATATGGGTCTTTTCACGTGTCATTTCTATCACTTTGTCATAAATAGGAAACTTATCAAACAATCCGAGTTTTTTACAATATATTCTCTTAGATAAGAATTGAATTATTTTGTAAATCTCTTAATCATTATTATTTATACTTTTACTTTTCACATCTAATCGTAGAGATGATTGAAGAAAATTGGGTGTTAGCTAGAGGAGATTGAAAGTGATAGTCTCCATTTACCTCGAGAGAGTTCTTGGTTTTGGACGATTCTACCTTGATAAAGTTGTCTTCAAGAAACATTGAAACTAATCAATGTTGTGTCAAAATTCCCCAATTAAGACGCAACAAACATTTTTTACTTTTAGTCAAATTTTGCTGCGTATATCCATCCCCCATCAAGGTATGGAATCTATGGAGGGAATGGCCTAAACATATCTAACCTACCTAGCTACACATATCAGTCACCACTCATTATCAAATAAAGGCGGTAATTAAGCTGAAATTTCAAATCCATGTATATCAAAGTTTTAAGTAATTGAGACATCTAAGGGAGTGTTTGAAAAAACATTAATAATATATAATTATTAAAGTCAATAATTCTAGACAAAAAAATAATAAAGATAAGAGCAATGCTATTAAGACATAATTTATAGACATAATTTAAGGACATAATGAGTTGTCACCAATGATATGATAATAAATTCATGAATGCTACAGTGGGATCCATCATTAAATGTATTTCACTATCATTTTATTTGTGACAATGTATTATGTTCTAAAAATTATGTCCTTCAATTATGTCTCAATAGCATTAGTGTAAAGATAAAGGTAGCTAGAGATAGACACAGAAATAGGTATGAACAAATTAAAGACCCTGGTCATAGATGTAGAATAAGAATAGCACAAGGAAATTCTACTACTTTTTTTTTTATTTCACTGGTCAAGGATATTCAGATTAATTTTACGAGTAATTCAACTAATTCATTTTCCAGTCTAGTCAAAAACAAATTATTCATGTCTGACTCAACGGATAAACAAATCGAATTTCGATGGATAAAAATCCAAACCAGATCCAATCCATTAACCATCCTACTTCTAATGAATTGAACCAAAGCTTTTGTGTGAAGCATTCTCAAAATCTAGGTTTTTTTTGTAACTAGGAAGTTTTTTGTGGTTAAAGCTACCATTTCATCCAACATTATTTTCTCTATCCTCAATTATTTTTATAAATTTTGCCAGGTTCCTCCACTTTAGATGTAAAAGTTCTAAGTATATATATATCAGATCAAATTTACATGTATCTAAATTAAAATCCGTTTAAATAAAATTTGTTCCAGTTAAACATACATTTTACACCGGTACAAACTTACTCCAATTTTTATTTTTTTTTTAGTTACTCCAATGTTTATTATTATTTGCTCAACATTACTTTTTTGGGTCTTGAGAGAATTCAATACCATTTTAAAAAAAACAAAGAAAAAAGAAAGACATTTGTGATATATAATCTTTCTTTCTAATCAGGACAGGCTCAAAGCCACTTTAATGGCTGTTTAGGGGCCCTTGTTTTTAAATAATTAATTATAAATACAATAATTTTTTGTTTTCTCCGAGTCCTATCCTATCATTCTTTAAAATATATAAGGTAACTCATATTTTAAACACTATTCTATATATTTGTGATCATCTCATCTTTCAGCCATATTATAAAACCTTAATTAATCCAATTAGAAGCGTTCTCCCTATCCTACAAGTAAGAATTATGGTATTTCATATTTCTACCTGATATTTTACAGAAAAAAATTTTCTTGGTCTACTCTATCCGATTAAGTGTACTATTCTTATTTGAATTCCGTTCATAAGAAGTCGGGTAGGAAATCAGGTAAATACATATTTTTTTGTTATTAATTTTTAGATCATTTTAATAATTTAATTAAGTAACATGCACTAATTAACTAATACAATAAGCCAATAATACTAAAAAAAACATAATAAATTCGATAATATATAAACAATTACAATAAAACACAACAAAAAGTCGTAAACATCAATACATCATCTATAAGAAAGTAATAAATATCAATAAAACATTAGTGTTTCTAGATTTTTAGATTTTAATTTTTAGGGATTAACACACACACACTCCTACCCGATTTTTTGCGGATAGAGTAGAGTAGGAGTATGAAAATTTTATAAGTATTCTGCATTTTTACTTAATTTTTTTGAGAAATACCGAAAAGTTTTCTATTGGCCTACTCTATTTTTTCGGGTAGTCAATCAATAGAGTTGGATAGAGTACGTTAGGATCAAAATTTACATGTAATAAAAAATTTAAACACCCTAAATCTAATTAATCTTTTTATCATGAATCACATATCCACTTATTCGAGTGGCAGAGGATGGAGACTTAAAAAAAACATTGGAAATCTCATCGTTAAAAGTTGATTTTATTTTATTTTTTGTTTTAATGGTGTGAGTGTCTGAACTAATTTATGTGCACCTCAATTATTGTTCTTTTCAGTCCGGTCAAAAACAGACTATTTATACTGAAATTAAAGTATTTATTAAAAATAAATATTTTATGACATGATCTTATTAAATTATTAAAATTTAAATTTAAAACGTCACCATGCTATCATTTCAATTTCTTGGGGGTATGTTAAGAGTTGATTTCAAATACGTACCGGTGCTACGAGTAATTAACTTTTTCCTCCACCCTATCATTGCAATTTAAGCCTCGTTACCAACAAAGTATATACCAGTTGAAGACCGTAACAAAAAAAAAAAATTATTTACACCTAAAAATTTGACATAATTTGTTGATCTAATAACGTGACTTTATTAAAATTATTGAATTAACACCAAATTTCAATGATTGATGGAGCCTCCAATCAAAACAAAAACCTTTTAAACGTAAATCACCAGTTCAAGAAGGGTAATACTGTAAAACAACAGTGACTGTACCTTGTTCCTGCCGACTTCTTCTGCACTCTCTTTTCGCTCAAAACCAAACATCAGAGCTTCTCTTTCACCTACCTGAACCATATCACCCACCCTTCCCCTGTCTTTTCTCTCGCATTTTCTCACCAAAACTTCCGTGACAAAGTTCGATTCAACTTTCCTCTGGAAAATCTTCAACATTTTCTAGGAAACCAAACAGAAGACTATGTGTGGCGGTGCGATCATTTCCGACATCGTTCAGCCTAGCCGATCTCTCCGGGCTACTGAAGACTTGCTCTGGGGCCCCACTCTCAAGAAAAACAAAAGCAATTACTACTCCAAGCCCTTGCGATCTAAGATCGTTGGCATCGATGATGATTTCGAGGCAGATTTCCTGGACTTCAAGGACTACTCTGATAACGAGGAAGACGAGGATGTCAAGCCTCCTTTCGCTTTTTCTGCTTCCAAACAACAGTCTGGGCTTTCTCACGGTGACACCATTTCTCATCTCATTTCGCAGTTTTCTTTTATTTTTATTTGTGGGTTGAAGTTTCAATTTGTATACTTCTTTTTGGGGTTTCAGTGTGATCTGTTTGATTTTTCTGGTGGTTTGGTGTTGGTGTTGCTGATTGCTGACTTAAATATTCATTTGTTTATTCTGTATTTCCTTTGTGAAATTAGGTTGCTGATTGCCGAAAGAGAGATGTTGGTTTAATTTTGGATTGATCTCTTTTGTTGTTTGTTTTGATCCTTCAAAATAGCTATTTGTATGATTCAGTATTTTGTTTAATTTTGGGATGAATTCTTCAAATAAGTCCGTAGGGGATATCCTTTTGTCTCGTTAGAGTAGTAAATTAAATTAAAGTTTATTTTTTTTGGGTAGAAAATAGTTCATGGTAGATTTTTGAGGAAATGATCTTGTGGATTCTTTAATTAACCCAGAAAAAAAGTTTTCTTTTTACGCCTGAAACTTAGTTTTCGTTACCAAAAAAGAATTTCATTTGGAAAGAACAAAGGTTTTTGTTGTTTTTGCTCAAAGATTATTGTATCAGAACTGGTTTGGCCAAAAACAAAGTTTTGATGTATATGTTTTAGTTGATTAATCTCTGTACTTCTCTAACGATATATCATTTGCTAAAAGTTATGAATTTTTCCTCGTTGAGAAGGGAACAAATAAGAGATTGTGAATTGTGTGGGTGCTAAGGCTTTGATGCGAGTGTTTTCTTTTAAAAAAGACTTCTGATTTAGTCAGTTTATTTATTTTTCATTATTTGATCCAATTCACTCGATTTGTTCCTTTTGTTATTTGATGTGGCTTTTGATTGACTGAATTTGTGAATTTTAAATAAGTGTAATTTTCATTGATAAATAAGTCATTTCACTGTAAAATTCTCTGTGTACTGTGTGGCATTGTTATTTCTGAGATATCTGAAGTCATGAACAGTAAACCGAAATGGTAGGAGTCTCATTTTAAATTTTTTGCTCATCAATCTATCATTGTTTTGAAAGAAATATTGTTGGCGTTGGAACCCTTCTCTGGCTCTCTCTCCCTCTCTTTTATTATTGGGTGACATTTCGATCCTTTCTTTTCTCTCTTATTATTCCTTTCTGTTCTCTGTTGGTATTTGATCTCTTTGAGGTGTTCATACCAGACAAATTTATGCACTCTTAGGGTTTATTACTTTGTTGTTTTAACCATTACTGTGACATCTTTTATTCTTTTTGCCTAACAGGCTCTAAGCCTGTAAAATCTGCTGAATCCAATGAACAAGCTGAGATATCTTCTAAGAGGAAGAGGAAAAATGTATACAGAGGGATCCGGCAGCGCCCATGGGGCAAATGGGCTGCTGAGATCCGTGACCCGAGGAAAGGAGTCCGAGTTTGGCTTGGAACTTTCAATACTGCAGAAGAAGCTGCAAGAGCTTATGACACTGAAGCAAGGAGGATCCGGGGAAAAAAAGCAAAAGTGAATTTTCCTGACGAAGTTCCGCCCACTGCCTCGGAGCGCACTGTTAAGGTAAACAGTCATAAAGTACTTCCAAAGGAGAACCTGAATTCTGTTCAAGCCAGCCTAAACCAGAATGTCAATTTCATGAACAACTCGGATCAGGATTACTACAATTCCTTGTGTTTTGTGGATGAGAAACCACAGACTAAGCAGTATGTATATGCGGACAGTTACCCTGCTACTGAAGAAGTGGGAGTCAAATCATTTGCTCCAACATATGGCACGCCTTTATATTTGAATTCTGATCAGGGAAGTAACTCTTTGGATTATTCTGACTTTGGGTGGGGTGAGCATTGCTCCAAGACTCCAGAAATTTCATCTATTCTCTCAGCTACCTCGGAAGGGGATGAAGCTCAGTCTGTGGAAGATGCTAATCCTACAAAGAAATTGAAGTCCAACTCTGTGGACTTGGTGTCTGGTGAGGAAAGCACTGTGAATAAGCTGTCTGAAGAGCTCTCTGCATTTGAGTCCCAAATGAACTTCTTTCAGATCCCTTATCTTGAAGGGAATTGGGATGCTTCAGTGGATACTTTCCACAATGCCGGCACCACTCAGGATGGAGGCAACCCGGGGGATCTTTGGACCTTTGACGACTTTCCTTCTATGTTGGGGGGAGTTTTCTGAGCATCCTTTGGTCCTCTTNTACAAAAAAAAACAAAAAAGAATAAAAAAGAGACCAAATTACAAAGAGTAAAATTTGAGTATTAAATGAATAAATGTGGGACCAAACATACCACCCTGTCAAAATTACATGACTTGGTCTTCTTGTTTTTGGAGTTGTGTACGGTACCCAAAAAAAAAATCGATACTATATTAATATTCATCACATTTATGAGTATTTTTATCACTGTTGTGATATCGAAGAAAAGTGATAAAAATATCCACAAAAGAAATAAATTAGCCGGAGAATGNTATAAATATATTTAATAATTGTTAGTATTTATTTTCACTCTTTAAAGTTCAGTCTTTTACTTCACTTCAAGTCTTCACCACTCTCTCACTCGTCACTTGTTTTTCATCTGGTCTTAGACTCTCAATCTTTCTCTTTTACTCGTCTTAGACTCTTAGTCTCCCTCTTTCACTTGTCACTCCTCTCTCTTTTATTAACCCGAATTAAGTAAATTTAGTCCAGTCTAATTTTTAACCCTAAATCAACCCAAATTAAGTAATTCGAATTTAACTCAAACACATCCGAATTAAACTCAGACAATACTCGGGTTGAATACCTCAGGTTGAGGTTGGGTTAAAGATTAAAATTAGAGTTGAAAATTATATACCTAGGGTTGAGATAGAGTTAATCTCAACCCACCCGAGTTGCACCTCAGAAGGACCAAAGATTGCCACTGTTCTCCTCCAACACTGCAGCATCTTGCAATGCTGTGTGTATGATGTTTAAGAAAGTGATGAAGTGAAAGATGAGGACATAACTGGATTGGCTTGTAGCTTCTCTTGTATCTGATTGTGGAAAGTTGATTTCAGCGGCAGATGCAACTTTGGCTTTACAATTAAAATTTATAGTATGCGTAAAGTTTAACTGTACAAAAAAAAACAAAAAAGAATAAAAAAGAGACCAAATTACAAAGAGTAAAATTTGAGTATTAAATGAATAAATGTGGGACCAAACATACCACCCTGTCAAAATTACATGACTTGGTCTTCTTGTTTTTGGAGTTGTGTACGGTACCCAAAAAAAAAATCGATACTATATTAATATTCATCACATTTATGAGTATTTTTATCACTGTTGTGATATCGAAGAAAAGTGATAAAAATATCCACAAAAGAAATAAATTAGCCGGAGAATGGATAATTTTTTTTTAGTTTTAAAATGACTCGCAAAAATTATAAAAGGAAGAAAAAATTCATAGCTTTTATCATTTGTTAACACCACTGTAGGCGGAGGGATTTGTGTTTTTACTTTTCAAATAGTGTTTTGTTAAAAAACGCCGCTGATGAGATCACAAATTATGCACATTTGTCCATTCATTTGAACATTCGTTAACGGCACTGCTCTTTCTTAAACGGACTTGTATATGTATCTCAATAGTCCCAGCTAACTCTCTTTGAATAGATCTCTGAAATAGTCCAAACTTATAATACGACTATATGCCCAACCTCAATTAACACCAAACTTGCTTTGTGTAGGTATAATGGTCAAGAGTATTAGGATCAACTTATACACAATTTAACTAATTTTTTCTTCAATTTGGTTAAAAACATTCATTCACATCGTAACTAGGATATTCATGAGGATAAATCCCTCGTGACCTGACCTCAAGAAATTATCAAGTTTTAAATTTAAAATGTTTGAATTTACAATTCGTCTCTGTTATCATTTGAACTATCCATCAGATTTTGAGTAGGTATTTTGATGAACAACAATATAGATGTTATTGATGACCCTTTTCTTTTTCTTCTCGTAGCAGCTTAAAGTCATTCAAAACCCTTTATTCAATCTTTTTGACATTTCAATTCAAAAAAGAAGTCATTTTTACATTTGATTTTACCAGTGCAGGGTGGACAAAAAGTTCCTATTATAAATGTGTGTGCAGGATCTTACACAATATAAATACGAGAACAGATCTCTCTCTTAGTGAACTCGAGTTAGTCAATCGAATGGTCAACTCTGTTGCTTGGAACAGATTGTGAGGTCCGGTGGTGGCCTGGAACGATAATTGGTGACTCTCGTGGATCAACGAAGCGGTCCAGTAAGGCTGAGGGAGGTTCCTGGAACAGAAAAAAATGAGTTAGGAGGGCGCCGGAGTGTTTTCTAGCGTATCCCCTCCGACGATCAAGTCAGTTCTTTGAGAGAAGAGAAGGAGAAAACACTGTGTTTGTTTGAGAAAAGGTTCTTTGTTGCATACCATTTTGCCTTTTGTGAGGAGTATTTATACCTCAAAAACTCATGATTGCTGTCAGTGTGGCCAATAGGTGATCATTAGATACAGGTAACGTGCGCACTGATTCCTATAAGAAATGTCTTCTCTCTTAACTGCTCGGGACCCTGTGCAACCCATGCTGCGTCATCGGCCTGCCGAATGTTTAATGAGCTTCTCTCGGCAAGGATGTAATAAATGTCCAGTCATAGGGACATTTATTACCTTTCACTTCCGAGCTTTACTGCATTAAATGATGTCTCATCAAGGGAATGGTACACTAAATGCTTTGCTTTCCCAAGTCGTGTGTCAGCAAGGGCATCTCGGTCTTTTTGTCTCTGATCTGACACAATATGTCACACGCCCATTCCCCATTGGTTGTGTCTTCTGCCTTCTTGTGCCGTCTGACACCAATTGTGTAAGACGAGGTCATGATGACTAACCTAGCCTAGCTTAGGCTAGTGACCTGTACATCAATAGCATCTGCAGGAGCAGAGAATGTCATCCTGGACGGGTATATCTTGGTACCAAGAGACTGGTACATGTAGGGACCGATGTACCCCCTTATTCGACCGAGGAATACGTGTCAGTATGTAACGTACTGGGTGTCATTGATTCCTATGAACAGTACCTCGGGGGAAGAAGGACTCGTGAACCGACGAGTACGTGTTGTGATCACAATAACAAGAATTTACTGATGTCGAGGACACGTGTCTTCATCTTGGAGTATTTGGAAATGTCTCATCAACTTCTCCCCAGCCTTCGATCTCCTGACACCGAGGACACGCGTCGTAAGGAGACGAAGGATTCTGCAACCACCCTGACTACTTCATCATTGCCTCTAGCCGTTTTCCCCTGCTTAGGAAGTCGTGCGCATTAAATGCGCCTCTTCGTGCTTCGTGCCCAAATGATGGGGATGGGTACTATATAAACGGGCTTCCTCTCTCCTTCTCTCATTTTGCCATTTCAAATTTTTTCAGAGAGCCCTTGCCTGAAACCTCACCGGAGATCCCTTCCCTTTCGTTGTCTATTGCCCAATCTTTCACCGAAGTCTCAAGGCAAGCAGACTCATCCTTGCTTCTGAACATCCTAGGGGAAGGAATCACTTCAAGTTTTCAAGAAAAACTTTCATTTGCGTTATGGTGAGTCCTTGTATCTTCCCCCTCTTCGTCCTTCTGTCTCTTCTTTTCTTCTTCTTGCTGTTTTTATTTTCTTTTAATTTTTTGATAATCGGAGGTATTTCTGGTTGCCATTCTGTGACCAACCCTCGGGAAGCCTCCTCGGGGATCATCGTGGAAAAACCCCTCCCTTCTTCCTCAATTTTCATCATTTTTGGAGATGTCCCGACGTCGCCCCACCCCTGAGAATCCTCAGGCTAGTTCCTCGAGGCCAGGGAAGTACAAAGTGAAGGGGGACGAGCAGATTAATAGATTTAGGGTCCAGTATCGTATCCCCCCATATGTAGACATAGAGGATTATAACTCGACTGTGCATTCCCGTACGCTCGGGGCCGAGGATGAGATGCCCTTTTATACGAAGGCCATCATAGAGGGCAGAATTAGGTTCCCTCTGCCCCCTCTACTCCTCCAGTTCCTCTTCCATTTCCACCTCTTCCTCGGGCAGTGTTGCCTCAATGTCTTCAGGATAATAATGGGAGTCCTAGAGCTCAACAAGCGTCTCGGGAGAAATGTTGGGTTGAATGATATCCTCTTTTGCTACTCCCTCTTGAGGGTCATGCCTCAGCAAAACTTCTACCTTAAAGTTAAGGACTCATCCATGTACCTCGTAACTCACCTTCCTGATTCGGACAAGGGGTACAAGGATGACTTGCTAATCTTCAAGGGGTCCTGGCAGAGGGGTGCCAATCCAGAATACGATGGTCTATTATACCCTTTGAAATGGAGAACGATAAGTACGTCGGCTTAATCGAGTCTATTATTTTGTTCTTGAGATTTTTTTTATAAGTTTCATAACTCCCTCTCTTCTCTTTTTTTTTTTTGTGTAGACATCTCCGCTCGGGAAACAGCTCCTCCACTTCGGTCCTTGGTAAACTTTACCGACCTCATCACTGTTTGGAGATTTGTTGGCGACGACGGGTTCAGTCGGGCTGCTCACGTTTTTCTGAACTACACTCCCAGATATAAAAAGTTCTCACAACTCCCCCAGCCTTTCGAGCCTTCGCGGTGGTCTGAATTCTTCGATCAGGCTGCGCAACAAGAGGTCGAGGAGAATTTGGAGGAAGACCGCGACCGGGCTACAGAGGCCGAAGTAGAGGGTGTTGTTGAAGTTAAGGAGTTCGGGGCCAGGTAGGCTTTTGTTCCTTGGTACACCGAGGTGGGGACTTCGGGGAGAGATTCGTGGCCTGACTTCCAAATCCTGCAGTCCCTAGACGAGGAGGACGCCCTCAAGGTAGCCATGTCGAACACGCCTCGCATAGATCTGGGGTTCCTAAGGCAGAGGCAGGCCCTCGTTGTCGGGAAGGGACGAGGATCAACCAGCGGGGCCCCATCTTCAAGAGCCGTTGGTCAGGGTCAAGTGCGTGACCGAGATCCTCAAGTAAAGGAGGGTCAAACAAAGGCACGACGGCATTGGCAGGGGATCCAGGGCCCCCTCCGCTCAGCAGCAAAGTGGGAGAGGCCGTGGGTTACTTTCTCCTCCCCAGCAGCAACAACAACAACAGCAGAGGCAGACTCCACCTCCCTCTCCACAGACGGTGGAAGCCGCAGAGTGGAACCCTCGGGCCACTGA